AGGCTGGCTTGGACACTGTGCTTCAGTTTTCTGTAGAACTTTCTATTTTTCTTTCCCATTCTTTTTGTTTAGTATATGAAAGCAGCTTCCTGTTTAGAAACATGGGAGTCCTACACCCTCGGTAATGATGTATTCAGCCCATCAATGATCTTGGCATGAATGCCTTAAACCTTAATAAGCCTGATGGGATTTTCTGTACATGTCATCATCAGTCCAAAAAACAATGCACAACATTTGTCATCTTGCACTGAATCAACTCCCTCCCCAGTGCTATAGTTCTACTAAGAATTCTAAAGGCTTACAAGCCTCCTTCTCTTAAATGTTTCAAATTATAGATTTCCAATGCCTACCGAACAAGAACAGGAGCACCAAGAGGAGACAGTGCTGTTGCAGAACTCTCAACACAATCAATACTCTTCTGCTTTTCCAACCCCGAGTCCCTGCAGCAGTCTGTCATTGCTCATGCTGCTCGAGTCTTTACTATAACCTATTATCCAAATCTCAGACTTGTCCCGTGCTGCGGAATAGGAATGAAACACATAATGTAATCTCTGTTCAACTTTAAAGAACATCCCCCCAAGCCCTACATGACCTAGAACAAAATTCTGTCTTGTTAAATACGTAGCCTGGATAAAAATCTATTTCTGTGGGTTCAAAAAAGGCAGCAGCATTGATGACTTGAAATAAACTGAAATATTTGTCACCTTGAGAGTTTAATGCATGTACATAAGTGCAGGCTCTTCCCCCTGCTGAATTTCAACTGCAATGAAGCTCTCCAGTGAAGTTACTGGAGAGCCATACAACTAGCACTGGAATCAGCGGGTACAGAAGCAGCCTCGTATACCACACACAACAATGTGCTGCTCTTCTCCAAGCAGCACTTAGCAGCAAAGTGGTTAACCACAATTTATTCTATATGGCATAATTCTTCAGCTAATGCTACTCACAAAGCTGCTAGTCTGGAGTTCATGAATTTTAAAATCTAACAATGCAAGGCAGACATACTGTTTTACTTTAACTCTTTTGGAGGCTTGGTCTGTGCCTACATAAACATCAAAACATTTTCATCTTTACTTATGGGTGAGCAGCAGAGTTAATTTAAAACTGTCAGCAAGTGCCATCCTAATTAAAAACTAATCACTAACTGTACAACTACAGGGCCTGTTGACAAGCTATGTACATCAGTCAGGCAAAGCCAACCAAGCTGGCATCTGAGGAAATGCAGCACCATCTAGCGTCCTACATGTTAGAGACCCAAAAATCAATTTTGCAACGAGTCCACACAGTAATTTCACAGGTAGCTGACGCTCACAAAAGCAGTAAGACACCAGAGGTCCAACTATACCAGCGCTTCTGAAAAAGGGAATCACATAATAAAAATCTTGTTAAAAAAGAGCTGCTGAGAGTCAAATGTTTGCAGGCAGAACAGAAATTCTTTAAAGACAATAAATTGAGAAATTACTCTGCAACCTACCAAAAAGATGCAGTCCAAAGGCTAAAACTACCAGAAGGCTACTAGAAAGGCTACTGCTATCTATAAAAAGCTACTAGAAATAAAAAGGCAACCTTCCAAGAAGCTGAGTAATATTAAAAATTCTGGCAGGCTAAAAACATACGACAATATGAAAAGGCATTTGAGAAATTATTTGAGGAAAATTAACAAATTCTTTTTTAAACACATCAGGAGCAGGAATCTCGAGAAAGGGTTAGTACAGCCAACAGATGATCAGAGAATAGAAAGTAGTAAAAAAGAGACAAGACTGCAGAAAAGCTTTGTAAATGTATTTTTTTTTTTAATCCGCATTCATGATTGAGCAGCTTAGACTGGCTCCCACTCTGGAGACCTCATTTCAGATTGAAGGGTCAGAAAAAGATGCTACTGGACATTTCAGGGACAAAAAAAAATCACAAATCTTTATAATCAGGCAGTAAATACCCAGGAAATCAATTAGGTAATAATTGAGCTAGCAACCACCATGCATAATCTCTCATTTAAAACTTCAAAAGAAGCAGAAGGTGGCAAATGAGACCATTTTTAAGAGTTCTAAAGGGATTCAGATAAGCTGACCTCTTTCAACCATGTTGATACTCTGCAATATAGAATTACTAGACGTAGATAAATGTATTATGCTGGTAAATATGGCATAAGTAAAGGAAACGTAGACCTCATATCTCTTATCATTCTTAAAGAACCTAACAAGTATTAACAGATATTTATTCTAAAATTTATCAAGACAGAAATTCCTGATGTACCAACATCTTATGTATCATGTCAGTCCTCCAATGCAAAAATCATATTGAGGGGAGGCTAAAGGGCCAACAAAAGGACCTTTGTGAAGCCAACTGTAAATCCATCTTAAATTGCTAGCATTGTTTTAGATTAACTTACTAATCATATGAAGTAAACTATAGATAAGAAACTAACACTGTAGGGAATGTGGAAGAGGGGAGATTAGTAGCAAATGGCCCATCTTTGTTACAGGCCTTGGAAGGCACATAGGAGAACAAAGCATCTAGCACTTCGTCGATATGAGGATAGCCAAGGATGGAGAGCCAGTACCAGATGTGTTGTTCTGACAGTGGAATAAGGGGGGTGGAAGCTGGAGTTCACCAAAAGGACAAGGTGAAGAAGAGGAGTGGATGAAGTAAACAACCCCTGAAGACCACCGACTCAAATCACTGAGCATGTGCAGTTGGGAGGGACTTATGGAAATGACCTCTTGAAACTAATTTTAATACAAAGCAGGGACAGTTATGCCTATGTATAGGAGTATTGGGAAACCTCATGTATATGTAACACTTTGCTACATATAAATGGGGCAAGCTGCCATGTTGTGGTGTGCACAACTTTGGTGGGACTAGCCCCCATGCTGCCCAGCGCTGAATAAACATACCTACTTTACAATCTTAGATTGTGGAGTCTGTTTGCCGCACATCAATATAGTAAAAAAAATGATTAAATAGAAAATCTGTTTGCAACCTGGAAAAAACTGAAAGACAACTAGGAGTAGAGAAGGTAGAAAGGTAAATGTATACTCTGCTATCTCTGAATACCACCAAGCCAACATTATCCAACACACACAAAATTAACAGGCAGCAAGTTCAAGACAAAGCCAAAACCAAATGTTTCTTCAGAGAACAAATCCGCAGCTTGTGACATACCATAACAATACATAGCAAGGGGCTTACCAGACTCCTAAAAGAATTTAGGCTAATTAATAGAAGAGAAATCCCTTGGTTCTGTGAAACACACTCCTTTCCCTCCTGGGAACTGGAGGACTATCACTGTGTTCACCTATTCTTACTGTCACCCCCTAAACATTTATTCTGGCCTCCTAGAGTTGAAGGAAATCAGATACTAGACTAAAAAGGATCTCAGTGCAGTCATCCTTGTACCCCTTCCAGAAGGGGAACAGTTGTAGCATCACTAGCTTTCTTCTACCATCAACGGTTGTGGACACACAGAACAGGAGCTGATGCTTGCTGAGCTAACCCTTACAGAGACAGCATGCTAGGAGCGGATGAGATAGGAATCACGGAAAATTGTTTTCATCCTAGCCGAGACCAGCTTCAAGCAAAGATAGTACAGTGAGGGAAGTCTGCTACAAAGCCACTGCATGCCTGTTCTTCATTCAGGTAATGTTATAGTAGTAAGTTGTACAGATGCTTTCTTCTTTCATTTGCATACAAGGGACCTACATGTGAAACCAGCATCATACACAGGTTTAAGATAAATTCTTGTGTGCATGTACAAGTGGAACAATTCATCCTTTCTAGAATGAAGTGCAAGAAATATGGTAGCAAGCCTCCACGAATAAAAATCTAAGACTACAATTGCTATTAACACACTAATTCTCACCAGTAGCTTCACTATTTCAGTTTCAGCTATCACTCCTATTTTTTAAATCTATCCCAAAGCTAGAGGACATGGCATGAGAACAACAGAGTACAGATGCCACCTAGAAGCCAGAGCAGATTTCCTATCAGTCTCTGAATGCCTTATTTCAAAAAGTGTGGAGTATACATTCGTCTTCTGAGTGTATATATTTTACTGCCAAAAGAGTTGTTACTCCTTTATGAAGAACCTGGCTTGGAGCTTACCAAGGCAGACCTTGTATTCCTCGCCACTGTCACAAGCTATGGATATAAGCTATGAAGATTTTCACTGTAGGAGAAAGTGCCAGAGCAAGTTGCTTTTCCTAACCTTACAGAGCATGCCTAAGAACCCAGATAAATTAAGTTTATTAAGTCACAAGTCAAGCTCTGTAGGAAATGTCCCAGTGTAGTCCGACATCTCATATGCCTTTCAAACATACTTATTAAAACATTTCATAACAGAAGCGCCTTTTTTTTAATACAATAAGGAGAATAAATTGCAAACAAGGCATGCCTGAGAAAGTGTATATTAATAAAGAACTTTGTTCAGGGATCTAATGCACCTTCACTGCAGGTAATTGGTGAGCATCTTAAGCATTCAGCAGAATTTAATGATTCGAGAACTGAAACAGACCCCAGACAATGTGAAATGAATGCATGCAGCATGTGAGGCAACAACCGTGGTCTCTACTTCTGGTCTTGCAAACCATAGCTTTGTTAACAAAGCCACAATAAAAACACCTGAAAACATTGTAAAGAAGCCTGCAGGCTACATACTACAACTTAATATATAGCACTAGCTCTATAGAAGAACATAAGAATGATGTCTTCAACATAAAAACATGACAAGTCAAATCTGAAAGATAAACCAAATTTATTTAAAGCAAAAAATTAAGACAGTGCTATGCCAAGACTGAAAAAAATGAAGCATTCTTTTACTGATGTGACAAGACAGCCCATTTACAGCAGTTGCATTGATTCTGAGAAAATCAGGTTGTGTTTACACTCCTTCGATTGACTAAATGTAGTTTCTGTAAGACAAACTCGGTCCCGTTCCCCCTCCCTCCCCTTCCCAAAAGAACAGACAAAAACATCCTATAAAAAACATGTACAGAATTTTGAGACACATGATCGAAACACGAACCATTGTCCAAAAGTCTGAGACTTTCCAACAAGATTAAATCCTTTGTTGCTTCAACCAACCCTCAATGGGGGAGCTACAAGCACAACGCCATCACCTCTGACAAACAGCATTGGAATATTCCTTTTGGTAGACTATGAAGAAAGAAAGAAAAGTTTACATTTACAAAAGCATAGTTTATAAAACATAAGCATATGACCAAATTCAATCATAACAAAGCATCAGAAACAACTCCCAACAAATACAATCTCAAACATACAACATTCTGGCATGCTGAAGAGATCAATACAACTAACGCCACATCTTTGGATAGCCTTTGTACTTTCATAACAATCTGCCCAAAACTTCTTTTAGAATCTTGGTACAAAAGTAGTCAGCAATAAACTACTTTAACAATACAATATAGTTTAGTTTTTAAAAAGTTTTCTATGGCGATAAATACACTAAAGTCCTTACTTTATAAATCTCTTCATAAGTTTCTTCATCAATCTCTATTGTAGTTACAGTTTCTTCCACATCACCCAAAATCATATTTAAGTGCTGATCATATGCCTGTAGGAATGAAGTTAGTTTATTATTTCTTCAAAAATTCAAACACAAGCTCATTAAAATGAGAATTATAGCAAGACCTTCAGATATAATTAGTTTAGCCTGATTCTCATCAAAACTTGCCGCTACATTAAAACAAGGTAGTATCAGTTTTAGTTATTTCAAACATAAATGCCAACAAATCAGTACTCTGCAGCACAGGAAAAGGGGTAGATATTTATATTCACTGA